ACCACTGGTGTGGACTGGAGGATCTTCGAATGCGCAGGACCCGATTACTTACGTACACATAAAAACGCCTGGTCTCATTACAAATGTAGCCCAGAACCACCTTACTATCTGTGTACCGTATTTTCACGACCATAAGGCGCACTTAAAAGTCTTAGATTTTCTTCAAAAAGTGCGGCGCGCCCTATAGCGCGGTGCGCCCTATGTGTTGTAAGGAGGACGTAGTAGAGAACACCATGAGAACGTTAAAGGGTGAAGTGTGGGCGTTGATCGTATATACCGGGACAATCGCACATACCTGTATAAAAGAACAGGTATGTGCATTATGCAGGACATCGTTGTTTTAACAACCCTGAAAATGGCAAAGAGACACGCTTACGAAGCACAGTTTAAACTGAAGGCCATCAGCTTTTGAGATCTGAGATTCTGGGTTGGAGTAGCAGAACTGTGTTCAAATCTTACTTGTCGTGGCTCGTGAACATCTTCTTCCTTACAGATCTGAACTCCATGTGAGCTGGGGAACGGCTGTGATTTTGTTGGCGTAACACTTTCATGCCGCTGATGCTCTGTCTCTGGTACTTTGCCTTGGTCCGCTACATACTGTTGTGTTCGTTGAATAGTTTCTAGAGGGTCAGAATCTAGTACAAGGTCACAACTACGTCTTTCACTATTGATATCAGCTGCAGCTTCTAGCACTTCTGCCTCCGCAATGGCTGCAGCAGTTTCTTTCTTATATTCTAGCATTTGCATTGAGGCTTCCAATTTAGCCTTTTCTAGTTTTAGGTTTATTTCCTCCTCAGCATAAGAAAGACGAGCTTTTGCTGCTTCTGCACGTGCTCGTGCCTTGGCTGCAGCAGACCCAGTTGATGATGCATAGGAGTGCACAGAAGGAGCGTGCGAATGCGTTTTTGACATGGTTGTTTCTTCTGACTTGGACTGAACAATTTCTCAGCGAATCTCTGCTTAGATGTGCTAATTGTCCATTAGTTGATTGTGATGATGGTTTCCCTACCATCTGTCGGCGTTTCCAAGTTATCTTGCCCGCTAGGAAGTGTGGTTTCACTGTACTGCCTCTGCTATGGTTGGGCAGTCAGCTAAACTCCTTCCCCACATCAAGACTCAGACGACACGATTCCCGGTTCACAGGTTTATTGACACAGGGAAAGGTGAAACTGTAACAAACAGTACAAGGCATAATCACTGTACTTATTCACCATGTACATATATAACGATGAAAATATATTAACCCAGTTTTTTAATATGTCAACATGCAATGTCCATATGAATTACTTCCCTTTTTAAGTCAAATACAAACATCAAATTATGATTTTAACAAGTCTTACTATAATGAATGCCTCCAATTCATTTGTCATTCCCCTTTAACTAGCTCCATAAGCGATTGCTAGCTTAAACTGCATAAGATTGGTTTTATCATTAAACTTACAAAAAAATTAACTTACTTGAAAGAAAGTGGTCTATACATGCACATAAAATATAAAACAAGTCTATACATACCCACAATGCTACCAAAGGCATAGGATGTATGTGGATGCCACTGGATTTATCTGGCTAAGGCCACCATGCTGCACATGCCTTCTCCTTAATTCACAGACTTACTTCCTGTTTACCGACGACATCATGTCCTATTACAGACTACAGGTTTTAAGGTGGCACCAGAGAGTTACAATTGCATATTTAAACATTTACCAAATCCAAGAAAACAGTCTACCTTAAAAACTTTTGATATCAGAACAGAGTCATTTACCCATATACTACCATGCAAAAAAATTCTTTTTGCAACCAGAGAAGTCATTTCCTACTGTTCGCAGTGATTAGATGGACTGGCTTTCCATTCCTCACTAGCCTGTATTTCACATTTTCATCACTTTCCATCCATCGTTTGTATAATGCCTGTATTTTAGTGCCAGTTTCAAAGAACTCTAGTTTTTAATCATTTCTTTGTTGGTTTCGTTTTACTAATTGATGTCTTACATCTCCTAAGATTTTAATTGTCTTCTGCCCAGAAACAACAACATATAACAATATGTCATAGATGATTAAATTATTCATGCCAAGCTTGTTTGTAGATCCAAGAATAATCAACATGAAGCGATGCGCATGATGCTGCCAAAAGACCAAGATGGCAGCAACCTGATTAACCAACAGGGTTAAAGTCAAGTTTTATTCATCCATAAGACAGCATCCAGTAAAAAGGGATATACAGTCACATTCAAAGCTCTTTTTTTCTCCTGATATGCCTGTTGGATGGTAATTTCACACCATTATAATTACTGCATGACAATAGAGTGCATAGTTTTTAAGGAATTACTTAGCTACTCCACACCATCCCAGTGTTTAAGTTTAAGCAGAAAGTTTGACAGTTTTCACTTAAAAGTGAAGAGTGGTAGGAAGTTAAAAGGTTCAGGAGCCAGCTCAGTAGGATCAACTGTACCACTGTGGATTGGGACAGGTAGTGGCATAGGGAATGAACTTAACAGCCTCCCAACTATTCAGTTTATTATCTGGATGAAAGGCAAAAGTGACATTGAGTAGAAGAGGTTCTTCAAGCGGGTAGTGAAGGATGAAACAGATACTATCTGCAGCGAGGGAGAAAAGCAGGGGGAAAGCTGCTGCCTCAGCTAAGAATACCAATTGTGTATCTTAAGTTAACCTAAGAAAGCTGTGCAAATTTCTGAAAACCACTGTAGCGACAATGCATGGACAGGCCGAATATTTTACAGCTGTCTGCAGCATTCACACTTGAAAGCTGGCTGTTCTGGAGAAATGGTAGAGGCAACAATGGGGAGGAGAGCCAACTATGAAAACCCAAAGAATGGGAGCTCCAGGTAGTCGTGATTGCAGATGGTCGACAGCCCGACGGTCATTTCTTCAGCACAAAAGCGTGGAGCCATCAAAACTGAAATGCTGCAGTCGTTTTAATGATCAGGAGAGGACTGATCTTTGGACCGTTTGTGACTTAAGCAGAAGCTAGTTGAGCTCGAGGGAATTTCTGATGTTTTTCTATCTAGGGCAGCTGAGCGCTTGACAGGAAAAAAAACAACAAAAAACAAGTGATTATGGAAGAAGACGCATTGTACTTTTCAGTGCCTAATCTGGTCATTTGTACAGTTTTCTGTACAACAAACTCAACTGAAAAAAAGTTGTGATGTATGACAGCGCAACATAGTTGAATATGCTCAGGTCAGAGCAGTCTTAAGAGAGCACAGTTCTCCGGTGTTCTTTGCCTCTGTCACTATTTTTAGCTCTCCAGACGGACATTGTGTGGCTGACAGGAATGAGGCCATCCGAATGCAGGGAATAAACCTGTGGCAACTGCCAAGAGTCTCACCCCCCTCTGCATATTCATTGTCCAAAACACAACATCTGGGACATTTCTCTGTCAGCTTGATTTCCACACTCACTGTAATGTCCCACTTTAATCAAATGATTTGCCTGTCTCTCTATTCCCGCAAACTATTATTTGAAAGGCAAAATGACAAATTAGGTGACTACTAGAAAGAGTGTGGTATACGACAAGATATGGCTGAAGTATGCAAGTGTCATACTCTGAATATGAATTAGACACACAAATGTGTGTGTCTGCACTTTGAAGATGAGCCTGTAGCAGTCAAGAATGTGGGGATGTATCACTTCGTCCAGTGTTTCCCCTTCATCTTGTTTTGAGTGTCTGGAATTCAAATATAGCTTTGATTTTGCTTTTACTGTGTAAAAAAAATCATTACATTCTTAATCAGTAATTGTTACATAGTTCCAGATTTAGAAACAGGAAAACTGTGAATAACAGTTGTTTTCTGTTTTCTGTGTTTCATAGTCTTTGAGTCTTTCATAATTATTGTTACATTATAGGTGTTTAGAAAAAGACTATTACCAAAGTTGTTGGGGTTTTTTTTCAATTGCTCCTGTGAGGCCAACTAACTCATCACATACTATTCACAGAGCGTTGGGGAATAGCTGCAATCACAGCATTGTATGATGGT